CAATACTGTACTTAATGCAATGCCAAAGGCAGGATTATGAGAAGGCTCTGGATGAGCCCTAGCTGCAGCAGCTAACCAAAATTTCATCCCAGAGCTTCGGAAACAGGGAGGGAAAAAAGGAAAAAAAAACCCGAATTTAATGGAAACGTTAGTCTTATTCTTTATTGTAAAGAGCAATAATGTTAATCCAATTCTTGCCTTATTTTTATGACCTCCTGCTGTCATCAGAGCTTGTTTTTCTTTGTAGAAAATGTCATTCTAGAAAGCATAAAGTCATATACCACTTATAAATAGCACCTTATTTGGAGATTAGCCTCTTGCCAGAAGAAATCAACCATGAGAGGCCTCATGACTGGCCTTCTAACTCATCCTCCTGATACCTATCCTCCCACAGTCTACTGTCCATACAACATCCAGAATGGTCTGGATTATCAGAATCCAGATTATAATTAACCAGATTATTCTGCCCACCTAAAGTTTAAATTAGGTCATATCCTCCCCCTGCTCAAAACCCTTCCAGATTCACATCACATTTGTAATAAAAGCCAAGTGCTAGCTGCATCTTACAAGGCCCTGGGAGACCTCGTTTCTGAATACCTCTCAGTTATGATCTATTGTTTTCTTGCCTTCACTCTATTCAGCCACATTGGCTTCTATCATTCACTGTAAGTGCCAAGCACACTCCTGTTTCTGCCTTGTAAATTCTTCCCTCAGCTCTGTTTAACGCTTTCTCCCTCGCCTCCTTCTGGGCTCCACTTAAAAAGGTACCTCCTTGAAGGGTCTCTCTGACCACTGTATCTAAAATAGTACATAATCTGTCTCTAGCACTGTACTCATTTTTCTTCCTATCTCTACCTAAAATTGTATTATATTATTTTGTCTGTTGTTTGCCTCTTCCACTAGAATGTCAGCTCCATGAGACTAAAGACCTTGTCTGTTTTGGTCATTGTTACATTCCCAGCACCAGAAATGCACCTGTGCCATGGGTTTCATGGTCAAAGATGAATAAATCTAGAAATAAACCATTGTTTATGTTCTAAGAAGCATTTGGAGGAATGCAGATTATTTTAGAGGTAGAAGTCGGTGACTGATTGGTTATGGGGGGTGAAGACGGGGGTGTTATCAGGGACTTCTTGATTTTTTTGTCAGGAGCCCATGGGTGGGGGGAGGTGTCACGTACTGAGAAGAGGAAGACCAAATGATTTGTAGGGAAGACGAGTTCAGTTTTGGACATCTAAAGCTTGAGATGCCTGTGGGACATCCAAGTGGAAAAGTTAGGTAGGCAATCGAATACATAGGTCTAGAGTGACAGTTAACTTTTCTTATTGTTTGGATCGTTTCTGAGCTGGGTTTTTTTTTTGTTGTTGTTGTCCATTTGTTTATTTATATTTTACAGAGATACTGCAGATTGAACTGAGGACCTCATGCATGCTAAGCATGCGCTCTACCACTGAGCTGTTATCCTCCCCTCGAGCTAGGTTTTCTTTAATTGAATCTAAAGGCACCCTACTGACCTCTCTCTGGTTAAGCTCAATTTAGATTCTACAATAGACTTGCTAAGTGAAATTTGACAGTTCATAGTGATAGGGCCGCTATTTTTCTCTAAGTGGGTAATGAGAGCTTCCTGACAGGCAAGAATGATAATAGAGAACGTTCACTGGACAATTGGTCACTTCACGTAAAATCACAAGCTCACAAAATCAACAAAATGCTTACATCCTTTTGAGGGTGTTTTGCAACTGAGTAAATGGCTGTTTAACATGATTGTAGAAGAGGCTCAAGGATGTGTACCTTGTATAGGAAATGGGTTCTTCATGCTGTTTCTTCTGGACACTGTTTATTCTAGGTTGCCAAATGGAATGCATACTCCACGTAAAAAATTTTTGAGCAAAGATACGCTTGTCCCATATGTAGAGTGTATTTAGCAGATTAAAACTGCGACTCCTTAACTTAGGTGTGTACATTTTGTCCTGCGTAAAAGTGATTCCAGTTTAAACCTCAAATGAACTTTTTTTGGCCTTTTATAAGTAGTCTAGTTTTTTCCTGCACTTTTGGCTTCTTAAGTACTGAATCTAACAAGGATCTACTGTTTCAAGTGTTATCTGAAACGCACTGGGAACCTCCTGGAGCGTGGAGTTTCTCGTAAGACGGACATTGAGAAGGGACACTACTTCCCTGCAGTGGTCTGGGCCAGTCTAATATAGTGCTAATATATCATCTCCAGCTACTTCAACATTAAATTTTTACCTATGAATATGGAATAAAAGTTTGGTTTTCTCCTTCTTAAGGCATTTCACACATCAGCAAGTGGTTAGAGGAAGCGTTTTTATGCTAGAGATAAAGTGGAATGGTGGGCAGAGACTTAAGTCCCTGGAAGAATACCTAATTTGCCTGAAAGATCTTAAAACCAGCAAGTTGTCATTCAACAATTCAACCAGCAATTAGTCTACTATATCTGAGTGTGTATACACATATGCATGAGGTAGGAAGGATACAAAGAACATATTATCTTTAATTTTCAGGAACTCATGGTCTAGTACAATTGCATATTTAGAAGAGCAGAAGCAAGGATAAAGGCTGTGAGAATGGATGATTAATTCTGCCTCAGGGAGCCTGAGAAGTCCCAAAATAGTAACATCTAACTGGGGTTTTGAAGGAGGAATAGTTTACCAGGCCGATGAGGAATGTGAAAGAACTAGGGTTGAAGTTAAGTGACTTATAAGAGGAATGCTGGGTGGATAGGAGGTGCAGGAACACAGGGTGCAGAGATTTGGACCATAATATGGGATATGAGTGATAAGGCATCATACATACTCACATAACATACAGTACAGGTGTTAGCTTTAAAATCATTCCTAGGTTTTCTGGAATTTTTAAGTATAAACTCCAAGAAGTCCAGAAGCTACCGGGCTGTGTGAATTAAAACGAACCTTTGGGAAAAGTCTTATTACTAAAAGGCAGGTACTTCTAAAGCTGTTTTAAGAGCAAAAGAATCCTCTCTTGACTGCAAAAGAGATTCAAGAGACACCCTCTTAGGTGATCTTCCTCTTAGTTGTCTCTAAATTGAAATAATTGGTTTGAGCACAATACCCACTTTGTTCTTGGTTCTTATTTTGACAGGTGGAGACATACCTGTAGTCACTACCACTTGATCTAAAATACACATTCTTAGCATTGCCTGGGTATGATTTACCTAATACAGGAATTCAGCATTTTTTAAGATGTTTTCAGAATTTGATCTGTATTCCTGGGTTTTAA